CTTAGAAACGTTAAGGGAGTCTCGGAGCCTCAAACGCTTAGAGATTTGAAGGGAGTTTAGGGGCCTGAAAATGCTTAGAAACTTCACGCTTAGAGATTTTAAGGGAGTTTAGGGGCCTCAACATGCTTAGAAACTGCTCGCCCCGGGCTTCTGCGTGCGCTGCCCGCCCATGGGCGCAGCCCCTTAAAATAATTGTATATTAGTATACTATAGTATATTCGACATGGCCGGGAGGGGTCCCCTTCGACTTCGCTCGGAGTTTTTCCACCCCCATCTTCCACAGCGGCTTTGTAACCCTAAACCCTAAACCCCAAACCCTTAACCCTGAACCCAAAACCCGAAGCCCCCAAACCCTTAACCCTGAACCCAAAACCCGAAGCCCCTAAACCCTAAACCCTAAACATCCCTAAACCCTAAACCCTAAACCCTAAACCCTAAACCCTAAACCCCAAACCCTACACCCCACACCCGGCCGCCAAGCTCCGCGCGCAATCATCGAAGGAGCGGGGAGCCGAGTCCACCAGCTCAAACCTTACTGTTGCTTTTAGTAGGGTTTAGGGGGGAAGGAGGGTTTAGGGTTTGGGGTTTAGGGTTTAGGGTTTAGGGTTTAGGGCTTAGGGTTTAGGGTTTAGGGTTTACGGTTTAGGGCTTATAATCCCTTAAAGGGTATATTATAGCAGCATCTGCATCTTGTGGCGATGTACATGGTAGATAATCCCGTCAAGGGCACATGTAGGGGGATATAGGGCCCTGATTCCCTCATTCCCTGCTAACCAACATTAAGAAACCTTGGGCAAAGTACTCGAGGGCAAGAAACAAACGGGCATCTCTTCGCAGCAAGCCCCTCCTTTCTGAGTCCTTAAAAAAGTAGATCCCCTAAAGGGTTCCTAAAAATGACCCAATAGTAGTTAAAGGGGTCCTATTTGGGGGCTCTATGTTTTTGGATCCTCCCAGGGGTCTGGGTTGTTGTCTCGTGTGTCCAAGCTGCTCATCACCGCTGCCTGGCGGGGCATTTGCTTTATCTGCTTTGAGAACCTACCATGCGAGTCGAGCCTGCTCCATATACTGCGCTACAAAACATTACAGTTTCAGCGAGGAGAAATTTACCTTCTTACTCAGGTGCGTGCGCATGGTGACTAGAGCTCTTGAAATATGAAAGTTTCGAGCAGCGCAAGACATGCGCTGGACGCGGCGTGTGGCTTTGCAAAGATCCGCGCCTCGCAAGCGCCTTGCAAGAAGAGGGTATGCATGCTACACTCTGCTTGAAGAAAAAGGATTATTTTCATGTTCATCTCAATGATCGTGATAAAGTTGCTCTTTATCGCATTGTTTGCATTGGGTGAGCCTATACACTTAACTTACACGATCTGGCTGTTGCTCGTCTCCAGAAAACTGCTGAGCCCCAGTCACCACGGCGAGCCCAACATCGACGTTGGTGCAGTGGGCACCCAACCTGGTAGTTTCAGTGGGCCACTGAAAAACTTTTCCAGTTTCACGCAAGATGCTTCGTCCTCAGGCTCCAGCGCACCCTCTCGAAGAACGTGCTTTTCCTTCATGACCGTCTACATGGGGATTTCCGAAAATAGGGGTACGCTTTCTTGGGGTTCGTATGTAAGCGGTACCCCTATTTTGGAAAAGAAGCTCAACCCATATACAAGGAGTTTGATTGCAGTAGTAGGTCGGTTTGGACTTGTGACAAGGATTGTGCAGTGAAAGATGATGAAAGATGGTGCAGAAAGTCCTGCCAGAACGCGATGTCGACGTTGCTTCGCTCATCTACCGTGAGGTCAAAAGCCTGCAAAGTCAAGGCAAGATCCCCACCCACCCACCAAAGAACGCAGTCGCTTAATGCCCCTTGCTGTGCATGTGCCAAGTGGGTGGAGTACAAGCTGGAAATGGCCTTGGTAAAGGCAACTTCCAAGCCATCTTCTTGGAGATGCTCAGGCAGCAAAGTCAGGCCAACCAGCAGAACCAGCAGTTGATAGCTGCCCTCATGAGAAGAATGGATTTGGAAGAGAAGCGTCGAAATGAGGCTGAAGAGAAGGCAGCGGAGACCGCACGTTTGGTTGCGGGCTTAAGGGGGGGCTTAAGGGGGGGCTTAAGGGGGGCTTAAGGGGGGGCTTAAGGGGGGGCTTGAAGGGGGCTTAAAGGGGGGCTTAAAGGGAGGCTTCAAGGGGGCTTGAAGGGGGGCTTAAAGGGGGGCTTAAAGGGGGTTGAAGGGGGGCTTAAAGGGTGGCTTAAAGGGGGGCTTAAAGGGGGGCTTAAAGGGGCTTAAAGGGGGGCTTAAAGGGGGCTTAAGGTGAAGCGGGGAGGGCTTGAAGGGGGGGGGGCTAGAGAGGCTTAAGGGGGAGGGCTTAAAGGGGCTGAAAAAAGGGGGGCTTGAGGGCGACTCTAAACATTACTTTATTTTGAAGATGAGAGAGAAGGGATTTATTCTAAATTCCACCCCCCTCGAATCTTGTTTTGTTTTTTGGATTTCGTTCTTCGAAACTAGAGAAGTGAGACTCTAACTTCCATTTGAAAAGAGAGAGAGAGAGAGAGGAATTTTTTCTAAATTCCACCCCCCTCGAATCTTGTTATATTTTTGTATTTTTTTGGGATTTCATTATTCGAAACCAGAGAAGTGAAACTCTAAACATACATTTCCCTTTACGAAGCGAAAGAAGGGAATGTATTCTAAATTCCACCCCCCTCGAATCTTGTTTTACATTTTGTGTTTGTTTTTGGATTTCATTCTTCGAAACCAGAGAAGTGAGACTCTAAACATTCATTTCCCTTTACGAAAAGAAAGAAGGGAATGTATTCTAAATTCCACCCCCCTCGAATCTTGTTTTGTTTTTTGGGTTTCATTCTTCGAAACCAGAGAAGTGAGACTCTTTTTAAAGGGGAGCTTAAGGGCAATTCCACCCCGCTCGCTTCTTCTTTTGTTTTTTGTGTCCATTACTCGAGTTTCAAGGAGCAGAGAGTTCATAGCAGTGACGTGGCGCGGGGCTAAGCCGAGAACCCCATGTTTTTTTTCAGAAATGATTCATATGCTTCCACGCGAGCTTGCCCGGCAGAAAAAAGCGGGGGGGTTGGGGGGGGCGCAGCCCCCCCCATTTGCATAGCAGTGACGTGGCGCGGGGCTAAGCCGAGAACCCCATGTTTTGTTTTGTTTTGGACATGATTCATATGCTTCCACGCGAGTTTGCCCGGCTTAAACAAGCGGGGGGGTTGGGGGGGGCGCAGCCCCCCCCATTTTGCAAACACGATGCTCGCATTAGGCCTCTTAAACTGCTGTCTAAATCCTCCACCGAAGGCCCAGCAGGTATTACGCCTCTTAGACGTCTTAAACTGCTGCCCGAACCCTCCGCAAAAGGCCCAGCGAGTATTCGGCCTTTTAAACTGCTGCCTAAATCCTCCACAGAAGGCCCAGCAAGTATTACGCCTTTTAAACTGCTGCCCAAACCCTCCACAAAAGGCCCAGCAAGTGTCAGGCCTCTTAAACTGCTGCCTAAGCCCTCCGCAGAAGGCCCAGCAAGTGTTGCGCCTCTTAAACTGCTGCCCAAACCCTCCAAAAAAGGCCCAGCAAGTATTAGGCCTCTTAAACTGCTGCCTAAACCCTCCGCAGAAGGCCCAGCACGTATTACGCCTCTTAAATTGCTGCCCAGAGGCCCAGCAAGTATTAGGCCTCTTAAACGGCTGCCTAAACCCTCCCCAGAGGGGGGGGCTTGGTTGCGGCTTCAGGGGGGAGCTTTAGGGGGGGTTTTAAGGGGGCTTAAAAAGAGGGGCTTAAAGGGGGGGGCTTGAAGCCCCTTAAAACGGGGGGGCTTTAAAGGGGGGTCTAAGGGGGCATTTTAAAGGGGGGCCTCATGCCACCTAATCCCCTCCCAGCACACCCAGTCCATGACTCACCGTGTCTTTCTGGGTCGGAATTGGAACTCTGGATTGTTGGACTTGGCCTGAACACTCCTCCAGAGCTGAAAAGAATTGAAAAGATTAACAATTTGGGGGTGCGTGGTGGGACCGGGGGGCGTTTAAGGAAAGTTCAGAATGCACTGTGCCTCCCCCGCTTTTTTTCAGCCGAAGCCCAAGAAACTAGTTGAAACCCATCATGTGAGCAGGGTGTTTGCAGATGGGGGGCACAGCCCCCCCAACCCCCCGCTTCTTTTAAGCCGTACCAAGCGTGCTTCAAAGCCCAAGAAACTAGTTGAAAAGCATCGTGTGAGCATTGTGTTTGCAAATGGGGGGGGCTGCGCCCCCCCCAACCCCCCCGCTTTTTTTTTTAGCCGTGCAGAGCGCGCTTCAAAGCCCAAGAAACTTGTTGACACCCATCATGTGGGCAGGTGGCACGTGCAGTCCCTAAACCCTAAACCCTTTTTGCAACCAAACCCTATAGACCCTCAACCCTAAACCCTAAACCCGGAACCCCAACACCGCCTGGCCGGCGCCGACTCCAGATGGCAGCCATGCCTTCTCTCGGACCTGCGAGCGGGGCTTCTGTCCACGCACCCACTAGGCCCTGCCGAGCGTAATCTGACCCTCTTCCTGACTTTTTGCATACTGGGAACGGTAGGGTTCTTCGTATACTCTCTACCGTGAGTTTATGGTTACTACAAGTGTCACTATCACTCTTCATACGGTTCTTCGTACTCTCTGCCATGCTTATGATCACTACGATCTTCAGTCTTAGACCGTGTTTTTACCACGGTGAGCCCATCACCCGGCCCGTGTCCCAGTGGCCTGACCTTCCAGCCAGCACCGTACTTCTTGGTATATAAAGAATCTACTCATAATGACCCTAACAGTCTATAAGAATCATAATAACAGCAAAACAGTCTATAAGAATCATGAGAACCACACGCAGAAGGAAAAGCCTTGCATCCACGACGATCTTGCGAGGCCCGGGCCCCCAGGAAACATGGGCATTTCAAAAACAAAACAGAGAAGCAAGGAGCATACCTTTCTGTGGGGCCTCGTGCAGCCTTTAAAAGGAATCGACAATACCCTAAACCTAAACCCTAAACCCTAAACCCTCTGACCCCAACCGGGCAGAGAGCAACCTCGAGGTCGGGTGCCCCAAAAGGATGCAAGGCTTGGTCGAGGCTAAGTAGATGGTGTCTGCGACACAGCGGTTCGACCGCCGGCTTCCTAGCAAGATTCCTCAAGGTCTGGTTATTGCGTACAGTACGCCTGTGTTTCTGTTTCGCGCAGGATGCCGCGGTTCGCTCATGATTTCTGGAACTCTCAGGGCTGCCTCGTGCCAGTTGTGATGAACTCGGCAAATCTCCACTTGCGCAAAGTATTCCTGGCCAAAGAACCATTGCGTGCTTGGTACTCGGCACACATGCAATGCAACAAGACCGATGTCGGTCCTTGACGTCCTCGAAGGCCATCCAGAAAATTGACATGGGGTCATCCATGAGCACACCTCACAACGACGGGTAAGAGACCGGGGTCCGACAAGAACACGAGGAGATCACCCTTGAGAGAGGGGAAAGGGGCGGGCAAGGGGGGGTAAGGGTGGCTCGGGGGTCGGGGGGGGGGGGGAAGGGGGGGGGGGGGTAAGGGGCGGGGGGGGTAAGGGGAGGGGGGCGGGGGGGTGGGTTCTTTGATTCTTCTCTTCATGGGAAGACTTGGTGACCAAGACCAGGCTGGGGTGTCAGCTACAAGCAGAAGAACAATCCGGGCAAGCCTTCAATGCACACAAAATCAGGACGAGTGAACCGATGTCGTGCCTGAGCTGTTGATGACACCTAGCTGCTTCTGCAGCTCGGGCGTCCATCCACTCCAGTCCTGTGGAGAAACAGGCAAAGCCTGTCCACTCAGGCACACTGCTTTCGATCTTGAGGCTGGGGGCAAGCCATCTGAATGGCCCACCTGCTCTGATTATCAAGTCCACTGAGAAGTGGGTTTAGGGTTTAGGGTTTAGGGTTTAGGGTTTAGGGTTTAGGGTTTAGGGACTACTATCAAGTGCTTGAGGGACTTACGACATGTCGGTGGTCCTTACCCCACTTTCCTTTCCAGGTGCGAGGTGCGTTTTGGCCCCATGGATTCCGGATCCTCGGAGGGCAGCACCAAGGCAACGCAGCTTGCTGTTTCAGGGTTTCGGGTTTAAGGTTTAGGGTCGCGCAGAGGCCTTGTGCCGCCCAAGAATTTCCAACATGAGCAAATGGATGTTGTCCTAAATTCCAGTGCCAAATCTATATAAGGCCGCGGGTTCCCTTGCGCCTCGCCCTGTGCCGCCTTGCGCCGTGCTAGTGTTTGGCCACGCCGGCAAACATGCCGACTACAAAACGTAGTACCGACAAGCTCCCTGGGGCCCTCATGTCACAAACCTTGCTCACCTTGCTCTACACATCCCGGTGTCGAAGCTGTCCCTGGCCCTGGCGCAGCTTGTCCATGTTTTGTCGTCCTGCTTCCTGGGGAAACCTCTAGCTGCCCACCTGCGAAGATCCTCTGCTAAGGCCCATGGCTTCACACCGGCCATGCTGTCTTGCGTCAGCCTTGCGTGTCCCTTGTGGCGCAACCTAAACCCTTGTTTGGGGGGTACCCTGTTTGAATTAATATTTGCAGATACTCCAGCGGGGGGGTGGGGGGGGCACAGCCCTCCCCATTTGCAAATACTTGGCTTGGCTCAGATTTTAGAGACTGTGCTTGCGAGATGTTGAGCGGGGGGGTTGAGGGGGGCGCAGCCCCCCCCCCCCCCCCCCATTTGCAAATAGTGCCGCAACAAACGAAAACACGAGCAAGTACTCTGTCTGAATATTTGCAGATACTCCAGCGGGATGATTGGGGGGGCACAGGCACAGCCCCCCATTTGCAAATACTTGGCTTGCATGCCAGGTTTAGAGACTGTGCTTGAGTGAGAGATTTTGAGCGGGGTGCGTCTTGAAAAGCTTAAAAAAGTGGAGCGCGACAAGCCGAGTCCAGGATTTACGTGCCTCTCTTCAGGACCAGCGCATGCCGGAAAGCACGCGCCTGCCGATGTTTTTGTACTTAAGCACAAAAGGGCCACCCGTGGTTGCGGGCAGCACAAGGCCGCTCCCCGTTTAGGGTTTAGGGTTTAAGGTAAGCACTAAGCACCCCTAAGCAGCAGGTGTTGTGACCGCTTGTGCGTTTGTGGGAGCGACCCAACAGTATGAGGGCATGACTTGACCAAGCGGGCAGTCTTGCCCTCAATTGCGACCTCCCAGGCGAGATGTGGCTTCCTTCAAACATTCATCAAAGACTGCAACAACTTGACCGAATCCACGTTCAGAACGCCAGAACCGTCTCTAGTACCGCTGCCCTACCCCTGCCTCTGCAAAATCCAAGATTCCATATGCATGCGGTGCCTGAGCATCAGAGCCACGAAGAAATTAGTGTTTTGGAGTCTTGGGGGGGTGACTTCTGAGCTGCGCAGCAACAAGCACCAACCAAGTGATGCAACTTTAACCTCCGCATGCCCAAGAAACCCCACATGTTCGCCCTGCCCTTGTAACGTCTTGATGCCTTCGTGCATGAATCTGCAGCGCCAAACCCCGCTCTTCCAAGATAGCAGCAGTCTCTGAACGTCCACAAGGTGCATCTGTGAATCTGCTCCCGCGGTTTAGGGTTTAGGGTTTAGGGTTTAGGGTTCAGGGTTATGAAGCACCACGCCTGCAGTCCCATCTCCTCAACGATATGAGTCTTGGACTTCTCGCAGCCTCCAGCCAGGCGGCAGCGGGCTTCGCGACACGTCAATGCTGCAGCAGGTTTCAAGCTCCCTTTCGTTCAGAGACCACATCAAGAAAAAACCTAAAACCCTAAACCCCTAAAACCCTAAAACCCTAAACCCCTAAAACCCCTAAAACCCCAAAACCTCTAAGGCCTTTGGAGTTACTCCTTCAGACTCCCCCCATATTCCTTTCCGGTGTGGTAACAAAATAGCCTCAAATAGATGCTATATAGCCTTATCTAGATACTATATAGGACTATTTCAGCATTGTTTTAGGCCTACATTCCAATGCAAGTGCCCTCAGGACCTGCGCTTGTAGCAAACGACACAGGTCTACATTCCAGAAAATCGTCCCGAAAAATTGCCCCCAAAACAGTCCCGGAATAGTCGCGGATAGTCCCGGAATTTGGGGGGAGCTCCAAATTCGCCAGTGTGAGGCTGGATTTCAGGGTCGGAATTTGGAGCTACCCCCAAGGCCCGCGTAAGTTGGATTTTGGGGGGGTCCGGGCAGGCTGGGGCAACCCAGTTTTGAACGACATGTTGCTTCTCAATGGCTCACGTTAAACTTAAAGCCCTGGGGGATATCTTGGGAGGAGTCTGAAGGAGTAACTCCAAAGGCCTTAGAAAACCCTAAACCCCTAAAACCCCTAAAACCCTAAAACCCTCAACCCTGCTTGCAAAAAACATGCTCAGCGAGCCTTCTTCGGAGCAACCAGCACCCAGCAAGTAGCCAGCTTCCTTCCAGGCCCCAAAACCCTAAACCCTAAACCCTAAACCCTAAACCCTAAACCCTAAACCCTAAACCCTTTTGCATCCCTAAACCCTAAACGAGCGCAGCCGGCGTTGCTTGGCAACTTGGCTCTGCAGCAGGGGAGATTGGAGGCTGAGCTGCGGATGTCTTGCTGAACAGCTGCCTCTTTGAGGGACTTTGGTTTCGGGTCTAAGGGCAGGGTTTCGGGTTTTTAGAGGGGTTTAGGGGGGGAGGGGGGGTACAGGGGGGGATTCAGGAACCCTAAACCCTAAACCCTAAACCCTGGAAGGATTCAAGGGGGGTATAGGAGCCGCGGGCCGATTTGGCGGTGGGCGTTGGCGGATCATGGGGGGACTGCGGCGTGGCCAGTTCGGTGTTTAGGGTTTAGGGTTTAGGGTTTAGGGCTTAGGGTTTAGGGTTTAGGTTCAGGGTTCAGGGTTCAGGGTTAGGGTTTAGGGATGTGTAGGGTCTAGGGTTTGGGGCTCTTTTTTGCCACCCGCCTAGCTGACCTCTGCTGACCTCTCGGACACTCTGCAGGGCAATGTGTCTGGCAAACATCTCCCTCACCGGCGTTTTACCATGGCAGGTATCCAAAGCGACTAAGACCAAGCCAGCGCCATTGAGCAGTGTGGATTGCTTGCTCCCTTCAGAACAATGTCTGGGGACGTTCTAAAGCGGCCTTGCAGGAGAGCAGCTTGGACCAGGTCAGGTCATCATCGTCGTCGTCACTGTCTTCACCTAGAGAGCGTGGACAAACAAGCAGGACTGTGCTGCACTGTACGACACAGCTGACATTAACCGACAACGGGGGCTGCAACAGGAGGTCTCCAGTTCTGCTAGGCTGCCATCCGCACCCTTTCCCCTCACAGCGCATCGGTTGTGTCCGCCTATGCCGCACTTTGGTGGCTGCCACGTCGCAGTCTGAGACGTGGCAAGAAGAACTTTGGGACAAAAGTGATCTTGTGCCTGACAGCTGTTGAAGTAGCCGCCTCTCTTTGGGCATCTTGCGGTCAGCCGCGCGAGTCAACGTCCGACCTGGGGGTCAACGACCCCCTGTGCTGACGCTTTCTTGGAAAAGCAACCGCACAGTATATTTGATCGTTCCACGCATGTGAAAAAGAATCCGTGTGGCGTAAGTACCACGGACCGGTCACCTAGATACTTGGCCCGCTGCTTTCTTGCCGTGAGACAGCATTGGCATCTTCAAAAAGTGTCAAGCTGGCCTTGTTCTGGCTGAGCCAAGCTCTCAGGCCTTGCATGTGGGGGTTCAGCTGCTTCGACTTCTCCGGATTTCTGCGATGCAGGCACTTGTCGTTGTAGTAACGGCAGTATTGGAAAGCATTGTACCAGTAGTCAGCTGCAAGGACACCACTACTGCAGTATTCACTTTGATCAACACATTTGAACTCAACCTCCACGCCCAAAGAGCTGGAGAGATGGCCTGCAATTTCCGGACCAGTCAGAAGCTCGCCACAAGCAGGCACATGGTGTCCGATGAACTTGGCAGGGTTTTGAAAAATACCATATGCCACCAAGCCTATGTCCGCGGCAGCAATCATCGGAACTGTCCTGGTCTTCATTGGAAGTATAAAGGTAGGCTTCCCGGAATACATCTTGGGACCCATGTCAAACGTGATAAGGTTCTCAAAGTAAAAGGCCGGCGTGAGGTATGTTGTAGGCACGTAGAGATGGTGAAAGAACTCTTCGCTGCTGCCCTTGCCGTCGAAAACAGGTACCTTAGGGTTAAGGGTTTAGGGCCTTAGCTCACTCATGCAGCTCAAGCACTAGTCACTAGGCTGCCGCAGCACACTGTGGAATTTCAAGTGCTGGCGGGCTTGCAATTCTACTTGTTCAGACGTGGAGCCTTCCCTATCCCCCTTTTGCTCTCTTCTCCAAACCCTAAACCCTAAACCCTAAACCCTAAACCCTAAGCCCCCCTGCCAAGGCCCAGTTGCCACGGAGCTCTTCTGGAGCCGGGGTATTCGGTTGTCGTGTGGTGGCACGACATGGCGGGTATCCTCAGCCGTCGACCAGATCACGTGGCTGACCTCAGCCGCTCCAAGCTTGAGGTCGCGTTCTCTCTAGGCCTTCGTGTTCTTCAGGGTTTAGGGTTTAGGGTTTAAGGTTTAGGGGTTAGGGTTTAGGGTTTAGGGTTGAGGGTTGAGGGTTGAGGGTTGAGGGTTTAGGGTTTGTTTAGGGTTTAGGGCTTAGGGTTTCATCAACCACAACTGACTCATGCGTATACTAGAACGACCTGGGCCTGCCACTTGGCACATAAGGACGTGCAATGGGCAATGACCCACACACCGGATGCACTAGTGGAGGGGCACCACTTCAAGAGGGAACACTGCCACCGGCAACGGCACACTAACCGAGATATAACCGACCAGATGAAGGAAAGTGGGTCCGCAATGCAATCAGAATGCTTGCGTCTCTGCGGCAGCCTCCGCATAGATTCGTGCATGGGCCCGCTCTTTCTCTGGGGAGAAGTGGTCCCAGAAGAACGTGACGCAGAAAGCACCGTATGCCCCGTCCATCGCTTTCTTCACCTGCTCCTTGTCCTCAATGTTGCACTCCACGACTTGTGCGCCCAAGTCAGCCAAGGCACGAGACGCCTTGGAGCGCAGGTTTCTGGTCACAGCCCGGACTGCAAAGCCTCTGGCCGGATCTTGCCTGAAGAAAAAGCGCGAAGCAGACATCATAACACAGGGGGGGCATGTTTATGGGGCTCTCAAGACACCACAAATAGCTATGCGCTCCCTTGGAACCTTAATGAAATTCGTATTTCTGATATCTTCTCGGGCTTTACCGAATAAAAACACGAAATAACTCCTAAGCACGGTATACCAATAAATGGGGGGGGGAGGAGGGGGGATACAGGGGTACACCTATTTTGGGAACAGCCCATATTAGAAGCTACATAGATGATCGAAAAAGATGAAGACGCTACATAGCTCGGCACGGCTTAGTGTAACACTTCGTCTTAGTTCATCTTGCGAGATAGCGGGCAGAATAGCGCGCACGAGGGCACCACCCTGAGCACCAGTTGCGCCGAACACAACGACAATCTTCAAGTTCCTTCGATTGCTGGATCAGCTCATGATCGAATAGATGTAACTAACCAGCACAAGAAAATAGAACAAAATACATGCGGGAACGTATACTCTCGCGCCTCTACATGTACACAAAAACATGTATGTGTTTATGCACGGTGCAAATATCACAAAGCTATCGTGGACAACATGAAGAAACAAAGATCCATTCAAGTTGTTGTGAGACCCGTCCAAATCCAGCCGTGTGAGAACAAGATCCACAAGGTAAGCTTCTAGGCCTAATGGAAACGGATTTGAGCTCTGCGGAACCAGGGTTCCGCTGTAAATGGAGATGGTCACTTCCAGATGAGAACCAGGCATGAAGAGGCTGCACGGGAACCAGCTCTTGAGTCTTTGCGATGCTGCGAATCTTGCAGGCTTCCTGGTTGTAGTCTGTGAAGTACTGAAACCTCGCGAGTGGGCTCAAGCATTCTGCACCCCTACATGGCCAGCTTGCTAAACCCTAAACCCTAAACCCTAAACGCCAAACCCTAAGCCTAAACCCTAAACGCTAGCTTCCTCCAAGGAACATGAGCCCCAAGGCTTGGGACTTGGACTCACTCTTCTTGCGAAAGTCTGCCGGGGGCACGTACCTGAAGGCCACCTCTTCTCCCAAGTGCTTTGAGAAGACTTCTGCGATCTCAGGTCCGGTCAGCAAGTCTCCGCAAACAGGGACGTATCTGCCGACCATCTCCTCTCTGGCTGGTTCTTGGTAGGGAATGAGGGAAGTAGGGGCGTATCTGATCCCTTTAAGGGAAAATCTAGGGTACCTCATTGCCTCATTTTTAAGAACCAGGGGGTCCTTCCCTCGTCGAAAGATCTCCCTCGCACACTCTGCGACATCCTCCGCGGCCACCAGTGGCATGGGTGCGCGGTCCTTGCTAGCCCAGGAACCATATTCTCACAAGGGCACCCTTTTGGAGGGGGCCGGCTTCTGAAAGACTTACCTAAACAAGAGAACCCCCAAAAATAAAAAAGCGGGGCGGGGGGGGGGGGGGGGGGCAAAAAGGGCACCCAAAAGGGTGCCACTTCGACAAGAGACCCCCAAAAAAACAACCCCAAAACAAAGACTACCACCGGCTACTCCAAGGGTCACTGATGGGCAGCTCGACACAAAGCTGCCTGTCGGGCTGCCGGCGCGGAGACAAGCCAAGGGCCTCGAAGTCGGAGAAGGACTCGTAGAAGAAAGAAGTAATCCTCAGCAGAGGGACCACTTTTTGTGTAGTTGTGTACCGAAAAAAGGGAGATCATAAGAATCAGAATAGTACTCTAAGAATAGTCATCATAAGAATGGGGAAAGGAGTAGCATGGTAGGAGGAATCATCTGACTTCCTATTCAATTTTCTGGACCTGGAGCCCTTGCTAGGTGTCATGTGGCCCCCCTAAACCCTAAACCCTAAACCCTAAACCCTAAACCCTAAACCCTTGGCCGCCAAGGCGCAAAAAGGTGGTGGGCAGATCGGCGAAGTAGTGATCACTTCGCCCCTTGCCTTAATCCCTGTTCCCCTAGGAAGAAAAAAGGATTTAGGGTTTAGGGTTTAGGGTTTAGGGTTTAGGGTTTAGGGTTATAAGAAAGCCCATAACCCAAAAAGTAAAAAGGATCCCTAAGACTGATCTAGCTGCCATCCAAGAGTGGCACTCGGCATCTCGACTTGTCCAGTGGCAACGTTTCCGCGTCTTCGGGAACGATGGCACATGTGTCTTCCTCAGAGCGCAAGACACAAAGGCTGAGGCCGGGGAAGGTCCTTACTGAAACTTCTTAGGGGGAAAGGAGAGCTCTTCAAGTGAATCTTCAAGGCACAGACGTGGACCAAATCACATGCTCCAGTTTCGCTTCCTTCGCGGCAGCGGCAAACTTCTTGGCTGCCAGCTGCATCCCCCTGGCGGAGCAGCTCAGGGAATCCACTGTGAAGTGGGCTCCATGTGCACCTTCCTCAGTCCAACCATCCATTGGGATGTTCCCCCTTCTACGAACAGTCCTTGATAGGGTCTGTGTTTAGGGGGGGCGCACTCTAATCCCGATTAAGGACTGTTAGTGGGTACTATAATCTCTATTTAGGACTGTTAGCATAAAGGGGGAAGTATACCAAACTAGCCACATCGAGCAGTTGGATGAAAGTCGCGATGAAGGGGCAGCGTATACCTTGCAGCAAAGCGACGAGAAGCTCGACCAGTCCATTCGGGTCATTTGTCTGCTGGACAACCTGCGCAAGGAAAGGTACTTGGAGGTGCATGGAATTATAACTGTACTTAGAACCCACTTGCAAGCCCCTTGAGTGTAGTGTGGTCATAATTGGGTTATAAGTGGGTGAGTATACCAACCCACGAACCTGGACCTGAAAAACGCAGGCACCGGTAATTCAAACAATCCCTGCTCTAACGGGACGACTTCACCAAAGCATCCACACAACCTCAGTCCGCTCCTGCCAAAATCATGCATCCGGCATCTTCAAAAAAATCGCGTGACTATGTCACAGCCAAGGTACCCATGGGTCTCATACAGTGTGCTAAGTATACAAATTGCAAAAAGAGCACTCTGCGAAAAGTACTCAACATGCACAGTTTACGGGACACCTCCACGCAGAGTGCATCTGAAGCTGTTGCCGGGTACACGCACACATCTCCCCCACATGCGGCGCGCGCACGAAACAACCGCAACCCATCCTGCCGACCCGTGGTTAAAGCTGCGCCTACCCTAAACCCTAAACCCTAAACTGCCCTAAACCCCTCAAACCCCCAAATCCTCGCCTGTGCACCCAGCTGCTCCAGCTGCTGGGCTGCCAAGGAGGTGATGTCAGGCACCACAGCTCGGACACGGGCTCGGTGCTTCAACCTGCACCATTTGTTGGGGTACTACGTAAAAAATGACCTTGTTTGTTCCTTATTGGGCTTTAAGTATTCAAAAAAAAGCTTTACAATTATATTTGTTTGTCCCTTTTATTGGGTTTAAGAGTTCATAAAAATGTAAAATGATTTTTCAACCATGACCCAGCAACAGGCACCTTGCTACCTGGCGGGTGGCCCACATGAAGGTTTCCGAAACTAGGGGTACCTTATTGGGGTCCTGATTACAAGGATTTTATTTGAGGTCTATATCAGGGGTCCCTTTATTTGTGTAAACCCACACTTCACTCAGCTCGACAGGAGCTCCTCCTTGCCATCAGACTTCCGGAGCAAAACTCAAGATATACTTGTACAATCTTGTGCATAAGATCCTGCTTCACGATGCCTAAACCCGAACCCTACCGCACCGGCATTAGCCTTAAACCCCATACCCGAAACCCTCACCGCTAAACCCGAAACCTACCACCCAACCTTACGGTAAATCTTTACCTCTAAGCCCCAATCCCTTAGGTAACCCTTGTTTGCCTCAAACCCCTTCAAGCAGCCTAGAAGCCCTCTCATGCACGGGCTTTTATAGGCTTAAACCCCAAGTCCGAAACGTCAACACCCCACAACCACGCCACCGGGAGGCAAGGAGAAAACAGGCTGTCGTGCCCTGATCATATGTGTTCTGTTTTTATATGTATATAATCTGTCTATCTATCTATCTATCTAGCTATATATATGTATGTATAGATATATGTGTGTAAATATATATATATATATATGTATGTGTGTGTGCGTAACGAATCCAGACCATCATGTTGCGGAGTTCTCTGCCCCCTTCTGCTACATGTGTATGTCGGCTCCTCTGCTTGATGCATATGGACTGCTGAGTTGCGTTTACGACTTATACGATGTTTGCGGGCCAGTCTACATTCTGCAGCGCCAAGCTACAGCATTGCCCTCCGTTCCAAGAGCGTCGAACACCACGATGGGCGGTCCACTGAAGATGCCCCCCATGCGCCACTGCAACAAGCCCACAGAATCAGCATGCTGAAGTGGCTGCGGACAGGCAGCAAGCCAAACATTAGTCGATGATAAACGATACTGATGAAGATAGACAGTTACAGATAATAAGGGATAACAATATCTTCTAAGAAACGATAACCGATGATAGCAGACATTAACTGATGATGATACACAAGGAGTAAGACTTTTTTTCGAGATGGCAAAGAGCTGACCAGGGATGATAAGCGACGCTAGGCTGAGAAGAGATGAGAAAAGATGATAAAAGATAAGAAGAAACGACGAGGGATGGCCAGAAATGAGAACCAGACTATAACAGATGACCAGGGATGATAAGCGACGCTCGGAGATGATCATAGATGATCAACGATGATCCGGGATGATAAGGGACGATAAGAGATGATAAGCGAGGATAACAGATGCTAAGATATGATAAGGGATGACAAGAGATGATAAGAGATCATAAGCGATGACCTGACCAGAGATGATGAGAGACGATCAGGGGTGTCGAAAGATAATTCGGAAAGATTAGGGATGATAAGGCCGATAAGAGATGACAGGGTCTGATGCGGGTTGACAACGGATGACAAGGGATGATAAGGCACGAGAAGGGTTGACTGCCTCCCTTTCGCTCGCTAGAGCCAAAACACTGGAATTTTTCCACCCAAACACAAACACAAACACAAACACAGACACACAGACACACAGACACACAGACACACAGACACACAGACACACAGACACACAGACACACAGACACACAGACACACAGACACACAGACACACAGACACGCACACACACACACACACACACACCCGCGCGCGCGCGCGCGCCCACACACACACACATACACACACACACACACACACACACACACACACACACACACACACACACACACACCACACACACACACACACACCACACACACACCCGCGCGCGCGCGCGCGCCCACACACACACACACACACACACACACACACCCACACGTACACGCACGCGCACGCGCACACGTACATGGACACGCACACCCACACACGCACACGCACGCACACGCACACGCGCACGCGCACGCACACGCGCAGGCACACGCACACATACATATTTGAATTAAGTTTCATGTTAACCTCTTCTCATGTTTTTCTGCCTACATATACATGGGTATGTTCATGCATCGGTTATCCGAGTTCTCTGTGGCTTCTCGGGCTCCCCGGGTCTTCAGGACTTTTCTAGTTTCCAGCCCCCTCAGGGTTTAGGGTTTAGGGTTTAGGGTTTAGGGTTTAGGGTTTAGGGTTTAGGGTTTAGGGTTTAGGGCAATTTCGCAGACAATGCGATATCCCAGCAATCTTGGCGCCGAACTTTGCTCTGCGGGTACATCTGCTCCACCAAGCAAGAGGCGCATGCGCTGTTGGTGTCGAGCCTGTCACTCAACAGAAACATCGCAGGGCAGGTTTAGGGTTTAGGGTTTAGGGTTTAGGGTTTGGGGTTTGGGGTTTGGGGTTTCTCCCGCTCCCGACCGTGTGTGCCGGTCAGTGCGCCGCTGGCATGGTCGGGACAACCCGACGACAGTCGCAAGGATGGTCATGCGCGAGCAAGGAGGAGCTGGCGCTGCGCTGGTGTTAATCCGCACAAGTGCGCAACACAACACCGCTTCCCTAAACCCTAAACCCTAAACCCTAAACCCTAAACCCTAAACCCTTTTTGCCTTAACCCTAAACCCTAAACCCTAAACCCTAAACCCTACCCTAGCCTCTTCGCCCCCTTACCATTGACTCCATGAGGACCTTCACCCCCAGAGGGCTGGGTCCTCGGCTCTCCAACCAAGGTCAGGCCCCCAAACCCTAAACCCTAAACCCTAAACCCTAAACCCTTAGAATTGTGGGCAGAGCTCGCGGCTGGCACCGCCCTGGGTGCTTCTCTCACGCGGATAGCGGGTCAACGGCAATGCGAGCGATAAGACTACGGGCCTGTCACTCACATGTAACATCGCTCCCTGCTGTGAAAAGCTGACAAGTTCAGTCATAAAGAGCCAACTTTCTGCAATTTCGGAAACTTCGCCCTTCATTCAAACTGGAAGTTACAAGGGGAGCCTCACGACAACAACGACGGGTAGCATTACTCAACGAAGGGACTGGTGCATGGTCCCTGCCAGCCTGGCGTTTCTCCTCCTTCTCGCGCCGGGCTGCCGCAGGAACGTAAAGACGAAGACGCTGAGGCAGAGACCAGGGTTGCCCATGAAGCGTGCTACGTGTTGTTCCTAGGAAGCATGCATGTGTACATGACTCATCGCAACTTTTCAGAACAAGAAGGCAAGCCTTGCTAAGTTTATGGGTTGCTGAGATAGAATAACTCTTCAAAATAGTAACGAATCTTAACTTTTCTTAATATTCTTACTATAATTTTTTCGAAATAGTAATTATTATTAGTATTACGAATACTATCACTATGATCCGGATCATATTGATAGGCACAATATTCAGTTGAACAGCCATGCACCGAACCCTGCCACCGGTTTAGACCTGGTCAAATTATGTCATATTGTAGGGTTAAGGTTTAGGGTTTAGGGTTTAGGGTTTAGGGTCTAGGGTTTAGGGTTTAGGGCAAGCCTCCAATGGGCCTGCAATTTGTAGCTGACTCCCCGTGTTACTTGGCCGCGTTACCAGAACACTTCCGCCCGCCTGTGTTGGATACCCAGTGAAGAGAGCCAGAGCCTGCAGTTCAGTAGAGACAGATCTGCAAGCCATTCAGGGCGCAGGGTTTAGGGTTTAGGGTTTTTAGGGTAGATTGGAGGTGTTTGAGAAAGGTCAGGGTTTTAGGGTTGCTAAAGCTGAGCTAAGAGTCCAGTTTGTCAGGTCTCAGGCAACGAGACAACCCCCAACCCTCCCGTCGACGTTGTGAATCTGTACTCAATTTGCCCGTTGGCCTCCCCAGTAACTTTCAGAAAATCTACACGAACACCAACTGTTTTTACACTTGTCTTGAAAATCGCGGGTACTTTTTGGAGAGGCCCACACTAGGGAGCAAAGCGATTGGCCGAAAGCCAACCGTCGTCGATGGCTGCGTCAGAAGGAGAGGACAAACAAACCGAAAGTGGTCGGGGCCTGGGGCCACAAATGTTGCCAAAGTAGCTACACCCTGGCCTCTGCAAAGGTGCCACCTTTCAGTGCACCATAGCAACCTCGACTGCAGACGCACCTGCTACGAGTAGTGCTTGTGCTGCATCCTTGCTGCCTCCTTGAAGAGCTAATTGAACATGCCAGTTGCCGCGAGCTCGTGTCAGTCAGGAAACAGTATCAGTATCTACCAAAGATGAATGAGATGCGGGCCGAAGAGTTTGGCCGCCGCCTGGAAGCCGACTCACAAATCATAGACAACTGGGGGGAAGGGGCAGCCGCAAGACATCGCAAGACTCCGTAATAATAAACATAACAATAATAATAGTAATAATAATTGCCATGACCGTAGTCATAAGAAGACCTAATGGATTTAATGGACAAGTTCGGCAGGCCTTTTCGACCAAGGGCGGCCACAGCTGACGCCTGGCCCCCTGCGCGTAGCCCACGTGGCTGCAAGTGCCGTTTAGGGTTCTAGGGTTTTGGGGTTTAGGGTTCAGGGTTGCCAGCATGTCGGCGCCGACCTGCGCAACTGACTTTTTCCTACTTTCTGCAAAGCCCCGTGCTGCTCTTGCCTGTACAGGATTGCTACAGCCATGTTGGGACACCTTCCAGCAAAGTCACTGGCTCCAGTCCGCCCACGACAGTAAGGCCCAGAAGTACTGAAGGTATTCCTAAACCCTAAACCCCTAAACCCCTAAACCCCTAAACCCCTAAACCCTAAACCCCTAAACCCCTAAACCCCTAAACCCCTAAACCCCTACTAAACCCCTAAACCCTAAACCCCTTTTTGCATCCAGGCTTGGGTGAGCCTAAACCCCTAAACCCCTAAACCCCTGACCCCTGAACCCTAAACCCTAAACCCTAACTTCAGAAATCAGCTGGAAGGATGCTGGGCCAACCCTAAACTCTAAAGTTGGGATGTCCCCCCTTATACTCACAGTCCTTAACAGGGTTCTAGAGAAAAACACCATAATCACGATTCAGGACTCTGAGCTGAAGGGGGACACGTCCCAACCCTAAAGCCTGAACCCTCGACCCCCCTGGCAGGCCATGCCAGAGCATCCAGGGGTACTTGGAGTTCATGGTACTTAGTAGGGTTGAGGATTTTAGGGTCAGAACCCAAATATAGCCATATTAGGGCACTTGAGGGGGCTTGTAAGTGGACTATAAGTACAGTTACTCTTGGGCTAGAAGTGCCATGAACCGCCAAGTAGAAGTCAAAAATCTTGAGCCCGCGCGCAACAGGCCCTGTTCCATGCAGTCCGTGTCTCGAGGTCTTATGGCCAGTAGCTCCCGGGATAGCTGACGCGTGACTGGAGCACCTGAACAGAAGAGAACTGTGAGCATCTGCGGGTCTTATGCGGGCAGCTCAGTCCACTGACTCTGACATGTTTCACTGAGTACCCTAAACCCTTAACCCGAAATCCCAAACCCTAAACCCTACATTTCGGCTATATCCTGGCCTCGGGCGACAGCCTGGCAATCAGATCGGACAGCCTTAAGCATGGTCTCTGAGTTGAGCTGGCAGCGCGCCGGTCATGATCCACATGCAAGAGCCCGGAAGAGCGTTGTCCAAAGTGAGCCATGTAGAGCACACGGGGGCGATCGACCACTTGCAGGGTAAGAGAGAGAGAGAGAGAGAGAGAGATATATATATATATATATAAACTGCGTGTCAGAAGCGGCTTCATGTCCGGCAGGGCCAAGTCTCGCGCGATACCTGGTCCGCATCTGACAGCTGCTTTTCTTTCGGTGTTCTACGGGGATCGGCCGGATGCAAACGTTGGACTGCGCATGACGAAAGACGCTCAAGAGCCTCAGCGAACCCTACTCAGAGGCATTTTTTCTCAAAGAAGCGCGTGAGAGGTGAGATCTGCCAGGAACAGTTTCTGCCCTGCAGACGTTTGTCAGGAAGTTCCCGGGCCCAAATCCAGCTTGCATGGGTTGATGCTTGGGTGTAAGAATAGTCATAATAATAGTGATGATAATAATAATAGTGATAAGAAAAAATAAGAATACCAATAGCATTATCAGTATTGGTATTTCGCTTGGTGCAATCCGGCGAAGGTATGGCGACCAAGTCTCTTCTCTAGTGTCTTGCGGGAACGGTGCGTAGCTTCAAGCCTCCAGGAGGGCTTTAGGCTCTTACAAGCATTGCAAGGTACTTGGGTGGCTAGCTGCCACACATTCAACGACGAGGCGCTGCAACAGCCTGCTCAGCCAGTTGCTGCAAGCGACTGTGCAAGGCTTACTTCTCCAATAACCAAGGGGGGGAAAGAAAGAGGCTAAACCTTAAAATTCCTACTGAACATAAGGAAACCCCAAGAGTCTAAAGTTCTCAACTCAAAAGGCGAAGTAAGAAGGGGTCAAGGAGAGTCCAAAATTCGGGAGCTTTCAGCTGCCAAAACTGGAACTCTCCGGAGTTGCTGGGCCGAGGTCCTTGAGTGAGCAGGCTACGAAGTGGCGCAAGCTCAACAAAGAAAAAAAAACTTGGCTGACTTCTGAACCCCTCCTAAAAGTTTAACTTTTAGGCTCCTTGTTGTAGTTTCTACAACAACCCAAGAAGTTAGAGTCCTAAGAGCCAGCCAGAAGAAAGCCAAGAAAAGAGCGGGCTGCGCTCCGTGCCCTTAAGGCAGCGGAATGCGGAAGATGGGACTGCTTGGTCCTACGGCCTAGGACCCGTCACACCAGCAACTTGCCCCACGAGGTGCTGACGCCAGGTGATTAGGAGCACAAGAGTGGTTCCACAGTAGAAGCCCCTAAATTCCTAAGATTCGCGAATGCGCGGACATAAGCAATGCAGCTGCCTGGCAGTCAGCCCTCGAGGCGGTCAAACACCAACCATCCGAACTAACACTTGAAGTTGGCACTCTAAGGTCACTATGGCAAAAACTCAGGGGTGCCCTCTCATATCCACTCTCAAATCCATTCGGTCTTCACCGGGACATTCGACTCTGCGGCAACAACTTTGGAATCAACGCGGCGCGAGCTCGGGGTGTCATCGGATTGTGCTCTCTGGCGAGATGAGCGCTTTTGCAAAGGCGGTGCCTTCCCAGTTGCAACCAAAGATAGAGGTAAGAAGGCTGCTTGTATTGTCATTCTATTTTTTTTTGGTTCGGTCATTCTGTTGTTGTAGTACTGTTTTCACTATACTTAATATACTTTGTTGTTACTATATCACCACACTCTGTGCTTGAAGCACGCGCACGTGGCCTCATCTGACAGCGCTTTCCGGGAGCTCTTGTGCTTGGGCTGGGCCTGAGGCGGAATTGCTCATGCTGCACAGAGGGTTTAGGGTTTAGGGTTTAGGGTTTAGGGTTTAGGCTTTAGGGTTTAGTGGGACGTGCGACAAACTGCGGTACATGATCCGGAAGGCCTCGTCCGACAGCGAGCGCGGGCGACTCGTCTGCTTAGGCGGAGTAGGCTCCTGCGGTAAAGATATAGATTTACATGTACTAGATGTTAGGTACTAGATAATGGGTATAGAAACAAGCATATATATATATATCGATAAATATATATATATATATATATATATATACATAAGTACAGGTATAGATATGAAATCAGAACTATAGAAAAATTAATGGTAAGCAACTTTGGAAACAGTGTCCAGATGGGCTATGGCAAGAAAAACCCTGACCTCCCCACACCAAATCAAATGCAGATGTCCTTGGTAGATGGTATAGACACGGTGGACATCAATTGCGAGCGAGAGGTCAGAACGAGGCTTTGTTCACCAATCTGACAGCCAAGCGCTGTTTCATGCACGTGGCGCTCCATGGGACTCCACTGAGTACACTGACACGGCAACTGGCCTCCGAGCCGATGGCTGTCACAATCTGCTGCGTCATACGCAAGTCATAGACGGAGAGGTTCCTTGGCCACCGCAGATGCACAATGAGACATCTGTGCAGGTCTTCAGGCATTGCACCCCCCACAAGCAAGAGGGCTCGTTCTAGACAAGGCTTCGCATAGTGGGGAGTACGGGAGTACAACCACACAGAACGGGCACGAAATCTATGCTGCTTGTGAGAAGAGAGCTAGAAGATGGGCTACAATCACTGCCCAGCTTCGCCAGCACTTGGCTGAGACCAGCCGTTCCTAGCTCCTCGATCTTGGTACAGAGGATGAAGAGCTTCTCGCTCAGCCTGTTTGGATCCGGCACTCGTCCTTCGCGTCGCAGCATGCACATGGGCGACGTGTCAGTAGCCGTGGTTTATGCCGACGTAGACCCCGGGCAGCGCACGTAAGACCAAGAAGCGCATCCCAAGACCATTCTACGAGCACCCGCGACAAAGCGACGATGGCTCACACGTGTGCGACAAAAAGGCTCCCAAAAAAGACGGCAACTCCGCACATTGCAGCAAAGCGATGACAGTTCTAGGCATCAGGAGGTGCGCACGTGTGCGACCTGGGCAGAAGCACTGGGGGGGGGGAGGGGGGGGGGGGCATCTAAAAAGCCACCAGATGACTTTCTGCACTTCTGCCGAGAATGCGCGCGAAAACCGAAGCGAGAGCGCGCCATTTGCGAGAAGATTCTAAGCCCCATGGACTGGACTCACGAAATCGCACGAAGCAAGCCCACCCAACGGCCAGAGCACGATTGTGGTCCAAAAACGCGAGCAGGCCTCGAGTGAGAGCCAATGTTCTCGCATGCGCATACGCGTGCACGCGCAGAGGTTCAGAAATCTGGATTCTCTTGCTCACAGTGATGAAAGCAAAAAAAGCTTGCTCTTTCATCCACGTCTCCCAATGCCAAAAGGCAAGATTCTTGGGAGCCTCCCATGGCATTTAAGCCTTGCAGTAGCAGTCAGGTGAATGCAAGAAAGGGGCTTGGTGTTTAGGGCTTAGGGATTTAGAGTTTCTAGGGTTTAGGGTTTGGTGTTGAGGGTTTAGGGCTTAGAGTACGAATGTTCTAAAACGCACTCGTTCACCCACGCAGATTTGTCCAGCATTCCACACTGGACTGGGCCCAAAACGCCTTGTGACTGCTGCTTGCGTCCTTGCAAGACAAGCTTGCTCTAGTGCTTCTTGTCATTATGGTTATTATTGATATTATTATCATTCTTCTTATTATTAATATTCTGATTATTATTGTCATTGTTACTTTAGATATTCAGTAGTATTCTTATTGCTACCAACTGCTACTACCAGGCCAGCAGTGCACAGGTACCGAGGCGCACCCTTGCTATGGCGAAGTGGGGGTTTCCCCTAATCTAGTCCCTCAAATAGGGTTTAGGGTTCAGGGTTTAGGGTTTAGGGCTTAGGGTTTAGGGTTTAGGGTTTAGGGTTTAGGGTTTAGGGATCCCCCTTGTAATAAGGACCCCAATATCAGACTTTCTTTCAGCTTCAGCTTCCGGACCCCAATAAGGCACCCCCCAATATCGCAAACCCCCCACGTCTGCCGCATCGACTGTTGCTTCGCGTG